ATCACAAGTCAATATGTAAAGTTTTATTGCTAACCCTTCGACATATTATTAATATCAATTTGAAAACTGGCAAACAAAAGGCAAAAAAGCATTTCTCTTGGTTCTCTTGTATAAATATTTTTTAATATTTATTTTTTAAGTATAGATGGGCACAACACAATGCCTTTATTTTTATGTGGTGCTGAGGATCGAACCCGGGTCCCACCGGTGCTAGGTGAGCGCTTTACCTCTGAGCCACAATCCCAGCCTCTTGTATAAAATTTTATTTTTAGGTACCTGAGAAATTTATGAGGAATGGTTCTTTATTAAAAAAAAAAAAAATCCTGGTCATAGATATAAAGGAGTGAGATACTGAGACAAATCACCATTTTATTTTATTTATTTATTCTTAAATTTTTTGGTAGTTAATAGATGGACAGAATGCCTTTATTTTATTTATTTGTATGTATTACTGAGGATCAAACCCAGTGCCTCATGCATGCTAGGCAAGTACTCTACCACTAAGCTACAGCCCCAGCCTTCACCATTTTATAACCATTTTATCTTTTTTATTGCTGTGAATTGAACCTGGGGTGTTGAGCATGCTAAGCAAGTACTCTACCACTGAGTTACATCCCAACTCTCAAATCACCATTTTAGAACCTCAAATAAAATAATGGATTTAAGTAATAATCACTAATAACAACTGGAACCATTATAATGAAAGGCCAATGTAAAACTTCTAATTGGATAGATCATTCTTTCAATATCTGAACCTACTACTCATTAATTTTGGCATCATCAAAAGGGCATATATATATACATACCTCCTGAAATGATCAATAGGAAGACTACAGCATCATTCTTGCCAAAGAAACTTAACCTGAATCTAACCAACCCTTCAGATCTGTTCTGTTCAACACGGAAGCCACTAGCCACATGTATCAATTTAAATTTAAAGACTTGGTTTCTCAGACATGCTAAGACAAAAAATTCCATGTGTTCAAACCCTAGACACTACTGTAATGAACAGCACAGATATAAAACATTTCTATCATTAGTGAACGATCTATTGGACTAACTTCCAGTGTATAGGATACACAGGGTCTAGAAGAGCAAATTACATGATCTGACAAATCAAATCCAGAATGTGGGAGAGAATCTAATGACCTAATTTCTAGACCAAATAAATGGAGGGAAGAAAAGCAGTTATAGTAAGAATAGCCACAGACTTAGAAATCTAAAAAATTCATTTAAAAAATAAAATACAATGTATGGATCTTGTCTGGATCCCTGATTGATCCAAACAAATGTAAAATAGAAAAGTGCAACACTTCTAAAACTGGAATAACATGAACAGTATAGATATTAAAAAAAAACTAATAATTTTACTAGGTGGGAAAATGACGCTGTCATTTAAATAGCAATCTTTGAGAGATAAACATTAAAATATTAATACTAACATGTGAAATATGTTAGGGATCTGCTTTAAATACTCCAACAAAAGGCAAAACAACAAAATCAAAAGCAATTTAAAAAGCTGGATGGAAGATGTAGGTGAAGATGAAACTAAATTGTTAATATATTGATAACTAGGACATCCTTGACTGGAGAGTTATTAAACTCTTCCCTCCACTCTTCTGTTTTACATTTTTTGTAATAAGACCACAGTTTTATTCTGCCTGTCAACTCCTTAACCTCACCTCTCCTTTGACTATTTAACCTGCTCCTCAGTTTAGATTCCCCAAACAATAACCATTAAACCATCTTTAAACCCCATACTTTCCTTTAATCTACTATCAGATCAGACACACATTCTTGGTAGACACCTTGCCTTCATATTCTGGAACAAAATCCTCCATGCTTGTCTATTGCAGTGCCTTTCGCGATATTCCTAATTTCTTCTGCTCTTACTCTTATTTCTGTATTCCTTAATATGACTCTAAAGCTCTTTGCTAGCAAAACTCTAAAGTCAATGAAATACTTATTCTGGTATTTAGTTCTGTATCAAAACAGAACAGGGCTGGGGCTGTGGCTCAGGACATTAAAAAAAAAATAAATCAGTGAAATAAAGGTATCATGTCCAACTACAAAAAAAAAAAAATTCATTCAATACCCTACACATTTTCTGTAGTCATCCAGCTTATTTTTAATAAATGGTTCTAAAATTACACGTACCAACTACATCAAATGAACAGAGGAACATGGCTTACAAGAAGCTGTTGGGTTGGGAATTTAACTCAGTGGTAGGTTCATGATTAAGATGCATGAGGCCCTGGGTTCAATCCCAGCTATGCATGCATATGTGCATATGAATACAAACACACACAAAATTCCATTTTAGGACATGTCCCCTCGCCTCCCACCCTTACTGAGAATTGAACCCAGGAGCACTCGACCTCTGAGCTATATCCCCAGACCTTTTGTTAAATGTTGAGACAGGGTCCTGTTAAGTTGTCCAAAAACAGCCTCAGTCTCAAAAGTAGCTGGAATTACAGACTTATGCCACCATGGCCAAGTGCAACTTTAAATGATAAATAGAACATGGAAAAGATAAATAGCTAACTAGATAAAATTTTCAACTAAAGACTAAGGACAAGGAAAAAGACTGTAGAGAAAAATTATTAAATTAAAGCCAATAATTAGTTCTCTATAAACTAGTTCATTTATAACTATGTTGATTTCCCCCTTAATTTCCCTTTGCATTTTGCTTCTTACACAAAAAAATCAAATTTTCATCTAGAATATGAAATAGCGTCAGAGTTTAGGGAAACACCACAAAAGACAAAGCAGGTAAAAGTAAACGCAAATTCAGAAATCCAGAGGAAAAAGACACAAATATAAAACTACCCCCTGCCTTTTAAAGAAGCTGTACCAAAAGCACTAAGACATTTCTATCTTTTAAAATATTTCTCTCAAAAAGTTGTATGGTAGTAGAGCACTTGCCTAGCACCCATGAGGCCCTGAGTTTGATTTCAGCAACTGGGAAAGAGAGGCAGTTTGACCAGCTTTGAACCGTGCTTAGTACAGAATCAAACACAAATGAGACTTAACACTTGCTTTTGCAGTAAACATAATCTACAATACTGATATACCCCAAAGTTTAATTTCCCATGCCATGTAGCTAACTATGAAATCAAGTTAATAGTACACTGAATCTGGGTATCAACCGTTAACCAAATTTAACATGACAGATGAGTGTCATCGGATTACTTGAATCTGTACACGTTGATTACAAAGCTAAATATACCTGGTTGTGCTCAAGTCTTCTTTGCTTGAGTGTTACTGGAGTCTTTGCTCTGCCCTTTAGTGGTTCTCTCTTCTCAAGCTTGAGCTCTATTTTAGAGTCTGGAAATAATATTGGAGAAACCATTACTTTCTGAAACATGTAAGTTATGTTCTCCTAACATAATTTGGGAATCCAGTTTTAGGCACATTAATACATAAATTTGTCTATTGGTGATATCTCAATAGACCAAAATTGTTTAACTACAATTTGTCTTAGAAACTTTTACTATTATATTCCATTTTTAAAAATTCCCTCTTTAAATCCCATTCCCACTTCCTACTTAATTCTCCTTTTCTTTTTCTCAGACTAATAGAATTAAATATAAAAGTGTATTCCAACTGCTCCTGGAGGCTTTTCACTAAAAAACAATTTCAAATGTGGGAAAAAGACATTAAAATAGTCAACACAGTTTGCCATTATTTTGTCCATGTAGTATATTGCTTCTATATGACAAAAGTTAGCTTGTTAAATTTAAGTTTGGTGTGTGGAAAAGAAAAACCACATAGATTTTTAAGAATTAAAAAAATCTGTATTATATTAAGCCTCTAACAACAGTACATGGTAATTGTCAATGGTATTAACATGTAAGTGCAATCTAAAAGTCTCTTCTCAATGAGGGGTATAGCTCAAAAGTCCTGGGTTCAATTACCAGCACCCAATTAATCCATTTTTGATGCAGTCACAAAAAGTCCAGATGAAACTGAGATAAGAAGGAATCTTGTTCACAGAAAAGTTACAACAATCACAGGGCACTTCTCTTTCCCTTCCCCATAATAAAAATGTATTTCTTTGAAGATGAGTCAATATTTGCTACATTTTTCATAGATTTCAATTTTTCACTTTTCTAGTCTTGATTTTATTGTCATTTGAAGACCTCCATTTAAAAAAATATGTACCTTTCCCATTTTTGTGGTCATTTATTATAGTGTAGCAAACTTAGTTATCAGTTGGTTCTTCTAAAAACTTCTACCACCAAAAATTTGTTATATAATTTTCTTACCAAAAAACAAGAATGGAGTCAATTCTTAAAGCTCAATTTTGTATGAATTCAATGTAGTTGTGCTACAAAGTGGTCAAGATGGCTATGATATACTTGTCCTGCTAACTTCCAATCTGATATTAGTCAGTCTAGAATTTATTTGCAAGTTTCCCAAAAAGAAAGGTGATTTTTATCAAGTTAGTTCAAACAGTTCAATCTTCATTTGGGAATAGGCTATCAACTATATTCCCCCATTTCCCAATATTTTCACTAATAGATATATTTGGTACAACCCTTAGCATCATAAAAATTTACTTTTATTCTTTGTTAACTTGAAATCTAAGAATTAGAAAGCACAAGGTAAAATACTTATAGCCAAGCAGAAACTGATTAGGCAAATAATTTATCTGATTACAGATTAATTCCCCTTATAAATTTAGATTCCAACAGTCAATAAAAACATGGTCTTCAATAGAAGAAAATCCACACAACAATAACTGGAATATTTAATTATACTATTGGAATGTTAAGTGAGTTTCAATGTGAAATGGAAATGAAATGTTCATCCACAAATATTCAACTTGTTCGAAACTTCAAGAATAAAGCACACGTACAACACGTTTCTGGAGACCACACAAAACTGTTCAAATTTAACAACTTTATTGAATTTGTAGGAGCATTCTACATCAATACATTTTTTAAAATCACAAAGTACTTAGTAGGTACATGTATACATGTACATTTTAGAAGACAAATAACAAAATTACTCCCAGAAAGCTGCAAAGATGGAATGTGTAGTCTAAGAATAAATGGATAGAGAACTGAGGGACCATATTCTGTTATGCTGAGACTACCATTTCCCACAATGTTCTCTACAATCAGATTCTTTTATCTTACAATCATAGAAATGAAAACAGGATAATACACTGTTTTATACAGACATAGACACTGGGATATAGTATGATTTCTTAAGGCTTTAAGAAAAAGCTGATAAATTTGCTTTTCGTATCAAGATTATTAAGCCTAATCATCCATGAAATACCACATACCTCAAAAGAAAAGTTTGTTTTTTTTTAAAAAAGCCCCATCTCTCCAGTGTCTAGTTCATCTGACAAAATAGAGTGGTAGTGTATGCTTGTACTATCCTAGACTATTTACCAACAAGAGCAATGTCTTTCAAAGTGAGGTCCATGAATTGTTAGTTAATTCGGAAGTGATGAGGCATCTGTATCAGATTGTAAAGCCATATACTGCTTTTGCTATCAATAAGTGTACTACATAAATAAATCCTTTCATTGATCTAAAAAGTGCCTTTATTTTTAAATTCTTTTATTAAAAAAGCAATGGGGGATGGGGAGACTAACCCAGGGCCTTGCACATACTACACTCCTGAACTATGTCCCGAACCCCTTAGTCTTAAAATTTCTGTGCATGTTTGTCTGTGGATCAGTAATAGTTTGTGAACTGGTTACTTTAAGTTGCATTGATCTAGAATATTATGAATGCTACTGCAGGTATCAGCATATAACAAACAAGAAAATAAAAGTGTAGACAACTTCTAGAAAGTGAAGTATCAAAAAGGATAAATCATTGCTTTAAATGTGTAATTAGTGTTTAATTCTACCCTAGATAGAAAAGAATATGCATATGATATTTGAAACAGTGAAGAATCTACTTATTTTAGTATTGAAATTCTCAGTTTTGAAGAGTTGTAAAAAGTATAATAGGAAACATTAAATGTTTGAGACAAATATATGATCTATAAAGCTTAAAACTTTATCAGCCTTTCTATCTGTGTAAATCTAAAAGAGCAGTTCCACATAGGGAATGACTTAACTATCTGAAATTCCTTATCAAAGATAAGACAGGTGACTTAGCTCTTAACTTTATTTTTTTCCACGCTTTTTAATTACTTTGTGTACTTCTCCTCCAAATAATGTTCCACCTTTAAAGGGAGTCACAGTCAGCTTATTCTTAGAAGCTGGATTAATTTTGCAATCCTTCAACCAGAGATATCGACGACCAAGAGTGGAAGATCCCATGGTATAGGCAGCCATCTTCACTTCATCAAATGCAGCTTCACAAAGAAACGAAGCTGCATCATATGTTTTGCTCAGAATATTGAGTGCCTGGTGTGTACGACTAGGATCTGAGCTAATAATTTGTGCAGCCTGACTAATGTCTGCTTGCATAGCCTTAACTACAAAGGCAGTATGGGTTGCAATCTGCATCGTGGATGCTGCAGCTGTATATGCTCTACAAAGTGTTAAGTCCAAGTGTTTATCACAAGACTCAGCAGAGCCCTCCTGAATACCTGCTGGTGGGATAGTTTCAGAAATAAACCCTTGGATTTCATCATCTACTTTTGGAACGGATAATATCTGGGTTGCCTCTCTGGAAGAAATTGGATATTTGCGTGCCAATGAAGGCAACTGCCTGTCAATCTGCTGCCACTCCTCTTCAATTACTTTTAAAATAGATTCATGGAAGGGAAAAGATAGTTCTGAGCTATCAATGTTATCATGCTGTGATTTCTCAGACTTTTCCATGCCTAAGGTAGTAAGTGCACGAGAGACAACAGTTTTGGCAAAAGAAGACATATGTTCAGATTCAGGTATATCCTGCAATACCTGGCTATCCTGAAATGACACAGAGGAACCTGAATCCCTCTCCTCTACTGACTTCTCACTGAGTCTAGGGAATTTTCGTGGAGGAGACAGGGAAGTGGTTTCTCGAAAACTAGATTGACCAATTCTCTTGCATATGTTTTCAATGTCCAGTGTGGGTATAGAGTTAGAAGTCCCAGGTAAACTATCTACCCCACCCTGGACCAACAGAGAATTGACATAATCTTTGATTGCCTGAGCAAGTTGTGGGGAAATTACTTGTGATCTTTTAGATTCCTCTAGTACTTCCCTTTCGCTGGAGAGAATGCGCTGATCTGAAATATTGGACTTCTCAGTATATAATGGCTGAATTCCACTTTTCTCTCCACGGTAAATATTTTCTACTATGTCTTTACAGTAAGAAGTAGTGGTTTCTTTAATCAGTGAAGGAGAAGCTGCAGTAGAGCCCAACATGGCAGCGAGTTCACGCTGAGAGGATGACGAAGAACTTTTCTCTACACTCCTATCATGGCTAGTCTTAGAGGAAAATAACAAATTCCCTCCAGAGGCTAAATTCTGCATCTGTCTCTTGCCAGGCAAGGTTGTGGCAATAAGAGGCTCCCTAGGTGGGTCGCCCTTAGAAGTATGTATTTTCTTAGCTGCCTGTAGTTCAGTCCTGCCCAAAGGAGGACGGGTGGAGATTTCAGGAAAAGAAATACCCTGAAAAAATCCACCAGAGGGAGTAGCTGGAAGTCCAGAAAAAGGAGCAAAATCCCTAGTGGACTTCACTTTCTTGTGTTCTTTCTTCTTTCCTGTAGAGGCAAAAGAGGCAGGAAGTTTAAGCATTACTTGTGTTTGAGCTGGTTTTATTCTTGCCTCCTTGCTAAAATAGTGCTGTTGAAGGAAAAGACCCTATATTTCATATTCTGAACAATTTGGCAGACTGTGCCTTAGAAGGCAGAGCTTTTAGAGATTTGAGTAACTTGGGTCAAATTAGATAATCACAAAACTAATGAACAAGGCATATGAATCAAGAGTTTATAAATATCACATTGCACTTATTTTTAAAAGGACATTTATTTCATGTGCTAGTATCAAAAATTTTAAATATCACAAATTTTCTATTATAATATATAAAGATATGGTCAAAATATTTGCTTTAAAGTTGCCATGAAATCAGATTATCTAGCAACAATTTAAATGCCTGTCAGAAAAAAATAATGTGCCACATTCAAATGCTACCACTATATATTAACAAGGAACAAACATATACATACTTAATAAAGATTAGATTAAAAAATAACATGGAATAAAAATACAAGCACAAGAAGTAGCATATAGACTTTTTTAAAGTACAAAATAATACTATATATTAGATGAATAAGTATTAAAAAACTAAATAGATCAGTATCTACTGATAGTGGTCACTTCTGTGGAGATGATAATGGACAAGGGCAAAAGTGGAGGAGAGAGTCTTTACAAAAATGAGATCTGAAGCAAAAGATAGTTAACTGGTAAGTTTGGGTAATAGAAAATTAGACACTTGTACTTTTTTGTTTCTCATACTTGTTTCAAGTATTTAAATCAAGTTACTTGTAGAATTACTCTAATAATATGAACAAAAATTACATATGTCCTGCCAATATTGTTTTAAACTTTACCTTCTTCATGAATGAAGTCTCATGAGAATCTAAAAGAATTACATGCATTTAACAATTTAAAAATTTTACCTTCTTCATTGTCACTGTATCTGTCAGAGTCATTACTTCCATTCTGCCTAGTATTTTCTGCTGATGAGGAAAYTGTTGGTAGAGGAGTAGAAGATCTTGATTCTGGTCCTTGTTCTCTCAGTTTCAATAGCTTTTTCTCATACAGCTTCCTGGTTGTTCCTATATCAAGGCAAAACTTGAGTTTAGCTCTTGCATTATCTTATTTAAGGTCTAGCTCAGAAATTAAATAGCATTATAAACTCAATTTTTACCCTTTCCTTTCCTAAACTTTATTACTTAAAAATAATAATAATGGGGTATTTTCAAAAATAGGAATTTTTCTGAGATTTTAATGAGATTATAATGTTTCTTTTAATAACATGGAATACACAGTAGATTGATATAGGTCTTATTGGAGATTAGCTACCGAAGAACCCTGTATGACTCTTTTTGAAAAAATATTTTTTTTAGCTGTTGATAGTCCTTTATTTATTTATATGCAGTGCTGAGAACCTAATCCAGTGCCTCACACATGCCAGGCCAGGGTGCTACTGCTGAGCCACAGCCTCCACCCGCCATGTATGACTCTTTTTGACTGCAAGTCTTGGACTTTGTATGTTTTCTCTACAATTACAGAAGTATACGCCAATATAGAAAATTCTAGAAACAGATCATGCCCCCTGAGGAATATGCATTGATATATTATATATAATCATATATTATATAATTATATATAATTTTATTATACCATACAATGTAATTCTATATAACAAACAGCTTTTGTTTTCTGTTTCACACTAGCTATATCTTTCCTTAATTTCTGTAAGTTGAGTAAAATGAGTATGGACTTTTATAAACAATACATATCCAGAAATATAAAGTAGTCTTAAAACAAACAGCTGGTATACCATCATGTAATTTAATGTATGCTGGTACATATCAGCATCTTCCTTTTACAATTTTAAACAAAATCTTTGTGTTCAAAATTTTCTACAACTTAGATGATCATAATGAATTTTTCTCACCTTGAGGTCATTATCAAGACCCTCATAAAATAAGGTAAATGCTACCTTGCAATAATCACTGAGCCACATTCCCAGCCCTTTTTTATACTTTATTGGGGGGGGGGTTGCTAAGTTGCTGGCGCTGACTTTGAACTTAAGATCCTCTTGCCTTGAGTGCCATCACAACCAGATAGTTTTTCATTCTTTAAATTATCTTTAAATTCCAATCAAGATATGGCACTTTTAATGATAAATGGAAAATGGTACTAGGCTAGGAATTGAATAACTTTAGTTATATTAGTCAGTTATTAACTTACTGATGTGGATGAACTGGCCAGTTAAGTTAGCTGAGATTCTCCTCAACTGTCATATTAAACCCATATGGGCTTGGAACAGTGGCGCACACCAGTAATCCCAGCAGCTTGGGAGACTGAGGTAGGGGGATCAAGCCAGCTTCAGCAACTTAGCACCTAAGCAACTCAGTGAGACACTGTCTCTAAATAAAATACGCACACAAAAAAGGGCTGGGGGTGTGGCTTAGTGATTAAGAGCCCCTGGGTTCAATTCCCAGTAAGAAAACAAAAAATAATTCAATATAGTCTCACCAGGTGGTGTGATATGTGCACCACATAAAGCAATCTCAACCACAGAGATAAGAGATTAGCTAGTTCAATTCTTTTATTTTATTTCCCTCCATAGGGTTGAGGAAATTAAAGTCTTGGTCATACAAAGGGTTAATGGTAAGACCAGCCCTTGGAACCCAAATTCTAATCACTAGGCAAGAAGAGAAAACAACTTAGGGCCTTGCTTCATAGAAAATATATTTGAAATTTTATGAACTTACCCACAATAGGACCAGGATTCACCCCATATTTCACAAGCTGATCCAGAAGTTCTTCATGAGAGAGCTCTGTTACATCTAGATCATCCTTATCTTCTAGTCTGGGCTTATCAGTTTTCTTTGTTGCTTTCTGTAAACAAAGTCCAATTGTCATTTCTACACAAATTTTAGAGTGTATATTTATTAGACAAATAATATGCTGTGTAAAATAAACATAAACATTCACCCACAAGTCAATTTATAGTTATACTACATTAAGCCATAGCAATTTGATTAAGTTAAAACAATTCATTATTTAAAGACATTCTAAATTCAACTATAATTAGACTGTACAAAACTAATTCCCACACAAATAACTTACATGTTAAAGCGATTAACTGTTGAAATATTCAATTTTGAAATACCTCTGTAAAGAGGTAGTAATGGCATCAAAAATTCAACAGCAAATAAATACAAAGTAAAAGTAATTGACTTTGGATAACATTATATATGTAATAATGAACCTTATACCTATTTTCTTTAAAATACACAAAAATTATGCTGAATTTTTTATACTGCGCACCCCGCCCCTCCCGTACTTTAACACTGAGTTAAGTTCCCAGGGCTTTTTATTTTTTTGAGACAGAGTCTTAATAAGATCCAGAGGCTGGACTTGAACTTGTGATCCTCCTGCCTCAGCCTCCCAAGTCAATGGGCTTATAGGCGTGCACCACCATGCCCAACTATACAGTATTTCTTAAAAGATAACTCCTGAAGACAAGGGAGTCAGATCAGCATGAAAGAAACAAAGTGAAGCCAGACGCGGTTTAAACATGTTCACCCTAATGTAGTAAATATAATTTACTGTTGACTTTTTCTAATCCTTGGAGTTTTTTTTATACTTTTTTTTCTTTTTAGGTGCTATGGAGAATGGAACCCAGTGCCTCACAAGTGCTAGGTGTGTTCTATCACTGAGCTACAACCCCAGCAGTTATAATTCTTAAAGTTTAAACTAGTATAGGAAAGTTAAAGACTTTTATAAAAAATGATTTCCCCTTAAACAGCATACCAGAACATAAGAAGCCCAAATGATTATTCTCCTTGTACTTAGTTTATGGCCATTCAAAGAAGTCTCACAAGACTTCATAGTTATCACCCCTAACACAGCTTATTCACCAGATTCGGTTGTATAAAGTCATTTTACTAGAATAGCCAAAAGAATGTGGAACTTTGAGAACAATACCAAAATAAGTTCTTTCCTAATTTTTAATATTTATTTTTTAGTTTTAGGTGGACACAATATTTTTATATTATATTTATGTGGTGCTGAGGATCAAACCCAGTGCCTCATGCATGCTAGGAGAGCACTCTACTGCTGATCCACAACTCCAGACCCCCTTTTAAATGTATTTCTTTTAGTTGTTGATGGACCTTTATTTTATTTTATACGTGTTGCTGAGAATCAAACCCAGTGCTTCACACATGCTAGGCAAGTGCTCTACCACTGAGCCACAACCCCAGCCCCTCAAAATAAATTTTTGAAATAATCTGAACAATGGCAGTATTTTCTCAAAAAACTATATATATTTCCAAAATAAGTAGTTTAAGCCAGTAAAAGTATGGATACCTTTTAAGATTATGGCAAATAGCCTTTACAAATGTCTGAGTAATCCTAGAAAGTATCAGTGTACCAAACAAAACCCAGTTGTTTAAATAATGGCCACAAATATCACTCAAAAAATCACTCAGGCCTGAATTAGTATTTAAGGCAGGAGAGTTAATACTACACCTTAGAAATGTTTTATGAAAAATGGCTAAAATTATTAAGTTGTACGGATCAATTACTTTCCAATTAAGGGGGGGGRGCAGGCATCCTGGGAATGTACCAAAATTTCTCTTGTAACAAATAAAGGGCTGGGGGTGTGGCTCAGTGGGGGATCACTGGCCTAGCCATATGTGAGGCACTGGGTTCAATCCTCTGCACCACAAAAAACAAACAACAAACAAAGTTTTAAAAAAAAAAATTTTTTTTGAATAGAGGCTTGGGATGTAGCTCAGAAGCAGAATGCTTGCCTAGCACAGGCCCTGAGTTCCACCCAGCAAGCAAGCAAACACAAAAACTTCACATAATTTTTTCCCCCAGAAAGTGATAATAATAAAGTCAATTCACTATATATCTTTTAGTGCACTAATCTAGACTTACCAGGCTCAAATCTTGAAACTGTACATTTTGATGTCAAAATAGTTACCTGAAATATAAGAGCTCTATATTTAAAGCCTTGAAATCTTATCAACCTAATCTTGTGTTATTGACTTAACTTGAATTTTCCATAAAATATAGTTTGTAGAGAAAAACTCCGTTATACGATATAAATACTTTAAGCAATGAATAATTTAACCAGGTTCAAATTACTTGTAAATAATTCCTCCCAGCATAAGAATGTTCAAATTTTACTATCAACGAAAATTCCAATTTCTTGTAACATCCTGAAGTGTTTTTTTTGGGGGGGTGGGAGGTGGATAGGAGGGTGTGGTATTAGGGATTGAACTCATGGTCTTGCACATACTAAGCAAATCCTGTCACTAAGTTTTAAATCCGAGTTCTTTATGTTTTATATTGTGACAAAGGAAGGTCTTGCTAGATTGCCCCCAATGGCCTAGAATTTGTAATCCTCCTGCTTCAGTTTCCAGAGCAGCTGGGATTATAGGTATGTGCCACCTTTGGCAGGGTTACTAGCCTAAAGTTTCTGAGAAAACTGACTTTAGCTTTCAACACAGCCCACTTACTTTTTATTAGTTATTTGTATACACCCTTTATTTTCTCTAAATGGTGAACTCCTTAAGTAGCAAGTCCCCAAGTGTAGCTTGTTATCAAAATCGCAACTATTTTAAAATATCTTGCTTCACTCTGATTCTTAAGTTTGGGCAGAAAAATCTATATTTTAAATGTGTAGCTTTAGTAATCTGGATGCAGCATTTAAGTGGGCACCAGAGAGCAAGAGCACTATCATATTTTTAACTCAAGCATCTTAGAACAAAAACAAAAGTAGTGCCTGACATAGGAGTTCTGTCAAACAAATGAATGATGCGTACATTCTTGAGAGGGAAAATCAAGTCATTTATTTTTGAAAATCCATTTCCTACTGGGGGGGCAGGGAGGTGTGGGGATATGGCTTATAGGTAGGTGGCATGCTTGCCTAGTTGTGTAAGGCCCTGGGTTCCATCCCTAGCACCATAAAAAGAGAACAAATGACATAGATTTTGAATCAAAGTAGGAAATCAATCCCCTTACATTTTCTTAAACTTCAGCTGAACAAAGAAAACTTTAAAATGTAGTAGATAAACTCTGTGATTTTAAATTTAATCTGTAGGGGGAAAGTGCCAGAAAAGTAATCCATTTTATAAATATAAAAGACAGCAGTTTCAATCAGGAAGAAGGAAACATTAATTGTACTAAATTCTACCTCCTGATAGTTTTATTCCTTTAAGTCACAATCTGTTAAGTTTCATTCAGTCAAAAATACAGAGTACTATCAGAGATATGATAAATTATTGTATAATGGTGTATTAACAATCATAATGAAAAATTAAATAAATAGATAAAATAAAAAAGAATCCATACAGGCAGCAAGAAGTTGAGGAAAAAAAAAACAAAACAGTGTACCTATGTACCAAGCACTCTTCTCCAGTTCATTCCCAGATACCAGATGACATCTACTGTTTTTTTCTTTTTATATATATATATATATATATTTTTTTTTTAGTTGGACACAATCTTTTATTTTTATTTGTTTTTATTTTTAATGTGGTGCTGAGGATCGAACCCAGCACCTCACACACGCTAGGCGAGTGCTCTACCGCTGAGCCACGAYCTCAGCCCTCTACTGTTTTTTTCAATTTTAAAATCCAACAATTCTGTGAAATAACTTGTTTAATTTCTACCTTTAATAGCAAAGATGCTAATAACAATACTATTATAAAATAAATTCTACTGAGCACACATTATATATTGATGTGTGTGCTAAAGTGCCTTATAGTATTTGAGAATTCTAAAAAAAAAAAAATCATGATAAAGATGCTAATATCCCCATTTTACTAAGTGAGGAAACTAAGGTCCAAGGCTGTAAGGCTAACAAGGGACATATGCATACTATGTAACATAGTATCACTGAACAGACATTATATATCACTTTCATATACTTATCCTTTTCTGAAATTGTTATTACGGTAACTTTGCACTGTACTGCCCTGATATTAAGATGAAAACATCCAGAAACAATGACTATAACAGGTATCAATTACTGAGCACAAGGCACTTCATTTATGCAAACTCATGTAATCAACCCTAAATCTGATAAATGACTTTTAGTTTATTCCTATATTTCAGGTAAAAATGGAGAAACCTAAAGGCAATCAATGTTCACTGTTCAATAAGCAGCAGACCTAGAATTTAAATCTATAACTCTGATTCATTTAACACCTCATTAAGGAGAATTGCAATCAATTTATGATTTATGCTAACTTGCCTTTTACGGTTCTGTCCCAAGTCTTTAAACATTTCCTGTTAAGAATTAATCAGGTTGGGGGGCAGGGTGGCTCACTGGTAGTATGTTTAGCCTGCATGAGGCCCTGGATTCAATCCCTACCACACCTTCATGCTTTGCACTTTGTAACAAAAAGGTAGGATGCAAACTCAAGGAATGTTTATTCTTGTGTCCACAATCTAATTTCAATACCTAAAATACTGGCATCAAGATGAATAAAAGAAACAAGAAAAGAAAAGAAAAACAAGAAAACAAAACCAAAATAAAAATTTTAACATGCAAATATTTGTCATACTACAGTCTGACATTATTGTGGAGGTACATACAAAGCAAATTCTCTCTTATAAAGGAATCTGACATGCAAAATAGTTTTACATATCAACTATTATAAATGCTCTATGGCTCTTGTAAATCCAAAGAACCTCTTCCTATCCCATATTAAAAAAAAAAATCTATTCAGACTTAATTGTAACTCACTCTTGTCTTAAGTATCTTTTTTTGTTTTTGGTACTGGATGGAACTCAGGAGTACTCCATCACTGAGCCACATACCCAACCCTATTTTGTATTTCATTTAGAGACAGAGTCTCACGGAGTTGCTTAGTACCTCGCTTTTGCAGAGGCTGGCTTAGAACTCACATTCTCCTTAGTCTCCCCAACAGCTGGTATTACAGGCTTGCGCCACTTGCCTCAAGTATCTTTAAAACAGAAAATAAAGCTATTGACTACCAATATTAACTTTTTCAAGTTGTTATCATTGAGCCTGGCCAAAGGCATACATTTTTAAGTTTTAATCACTCAAGTGGGATAAGACAAAATTCTATGGTTATGAAATAATTCTCCTCTATAAAGGAAGCTGGGCATGGTGGTACACTCCAGCAGTCCCGGTAACTAGGGAGGCTGAGGTGGGAGGATCACTTGAGACCAGGAGACACCCCCTCACCGCCAGAGGGAGAAATATAACTTTTTAGCATGTCACTGGACACAGTAGTGTGTGTGTGTGTGTGTGTGTGTGTGTAGGGGGGCAGGTGTTGGGGAATCAACCTAGACCTTCCTATGCTAAGCAGATGCTCTACTAGTGAGCCACACCTTCAGTCTCACAGTAGATAAGCTAAAAAAGATGTTAATTCCCCCCCCCCAATGAATTGGGGTGAGAAATGGGTAAATAACATAATTTTTAGACCCAAGACACTAAATTTTTATGATGATGTGTAGGGTCTGCAGAAATCAATCTTTAAATATCTATTTTTATTATCTTAATGTGTTATGAGCACATATTAGGAACTCAAAAATGATGGAAACTCCAAGACTTCAAGTTTTTGCATACAACCCAAACTTTATGGTTTAATACATCTACACCTACAAAGGGTACTACAGAAGAACTGTTTTTTTTTTTTTTTAAAGTGTGCTGACTGAAATGGAAGATATTTCACTTTTGACCAAATCTATAATGAAATAGTTTGAATACTATCCCCTTTTTTGAAGAGTCAGTGGAGGAAAATCAATACGGGATAAACTTTTTTTTTTTTTTTTTGAGGAATGTGAACGAAAAATTTATTTGCTCATTTCTTGCATTTGAAGTACTCTTCGATGACATCCTTGGCCTGAGATTCTTTGCCATAATCCTTAACAACTACACAACTGCAACCAACCACTTTACGGGGCTTGCCCTCTCGGTCAATTTTACAGAGCGGCTTTCTTTAAACCCTAAAATGGAGACATCAGAAACAATAAAATTTGGCTGCTCTTTTATATATTGAACAAACACTTATTATATATTATGTGGCATACACTGCCTTGCATGATTTTTAGTTTCTCTGAAGCCCAGACTGAGACTTTTCGATTACATTTACATGTGTCTGTTACATGTTATTCATTTCCATTTCATTCGTCAGCGAAACACATTAGATAAAAAATTTTAAATTAACAGAGAATGTTGTAAAACTTTTGAAAAGAAATAGGTTGGGGTTTGGCTCTGTTGCAAAATGCAGCATCAAAAAAAGGAAAAGAAAGAAAAAGAAAAGCAGCAATAACTTTGAGTTATAATAGTAACCAGCAGCAACGACTCCTACCACATTTCACCGTCTTTCATGAAAGCATTTTAAGTTATGCCATCAAGTTTTAACAACATTATGATATGAAGCCTGGTAACTAAGTATACACAAACCAACAAAAACACACTTAAAATTTACCGATAACAAAAAGCAAACTAATAAGCATTCGCTGAAGCCAATCTGAGATTTAACCAGGATCAGACATTTAATACCATAATCTCAGCGGAGGCTGAGACAGGAGGATGATGAGTTCAAAGCCAGCTTCAGCAAGAGTGAGGCTCTAAGCAACTTAGTGAGACCCTGTCTCTAAATAAAACACGAAATAGGGCTGGGGATGTGCTGTGGCTCAGTGGTCACGTGAGTGCCCCTGAGTTCAATTCCCGGTACCCCTCCCCCAAATTTAATACCGACACATCATGATGCCATAAAATAAACCCATCTCCTGGTTCCGAATCTTTCTTTCCTCAATATTAAGCAAAAAAGGGGTGGGAGGGGACAATCAACTCAAACTCATTAACTAGAATTTCCTAAGATCGATGATAAACATTTTAAAAAAATTTTTAAAGGTTCATTTCAACCTAGAGTAAAACTGCCGCGACAAGAGATGGCCTGTGGCTGGAAGAAGTCAGACTAACAAGAAAACACCACCAGTTCAAAAAGCCCTCTGCATGCAAACTAACAAAACCAATATGAAAAGGCGGGAATTTCTTTATTTCAAATTTTGCTTAGATATGAGTAGGTCGCAGACTGCCCTCCAGGGAGCGCTCTGAGACTGTTCTGCACGAGTCATTTCGGTTACCGAAGCGGGAAAACGCTCGGACCTGACCTACAGCGTTCCGGGGCCGACCCTCGCCAGGCGTTGGAAAAGCGCTCGGGGCCCGGTCTCAGGGCCCACTCCCGACGGCCGCCAGTCGAGGACCAGGGCTCCGGCGCCGCAGGGCTCCCCGACGCAGCGTCCGCGCGCCCCGCGGCCGCAACTTCTGGTCCCTCCCTCGCAGCGCCCCAGTCCCGGAGCCCGCACCCCGGCGGCGACCGAGCTGCGGGCCGGAGCACGGGGACAGCCCCGCGCCGAGCGGGGGCGAGCGCGCGCGGAAACCGCCAAACGCCCGCCTTTGTGGCCCCGGCCGGGCGTCCTTACCCTGCCGACGGTGGCGCGGCCGCGGCCCGCGGTGGAGGGCCCGGAGCTGAGCACTGGGGTGGGCTCGCGCTCCTCGTCGCTGGAGAAGTCCGGGGGCCCCTTGCTGTTGGCGCCCGCGGCGTGCGGCGGCCGGTTGCGCGCAGTGAGGTGCTGCAGGTAGAGCTGCACGTACACGTCTTTGCGCTGCTCCCCGGCCGGGAGAGTCACATTGTTGGCGACCAGTTCACTCTTCAACTTGTCTTTCGTCAGGACCGAGGGGTCTTCCAGGAACTCCGGCATCTCCGGGATCTACTAGTCCCCTTCCCCGCAGCCTCACTGCCGCCGCTCACACCGCCGCGCTCACTCCTGGCCGGGGGCCGCGCTGTCGCCTCCGAGCCTTACGGCTCCCGCCCGGGAGGAGCGCCGCGGGGGCACGGCAAAAAACTCGCAGACACAAAGCGAGGCCAGACGCGGGCACAAAAGCGCCGCGAGCCCAACTACGGACTAAGTGCGGACAGGCTGGGAGGCTGCACCAACCCCAGCCCACACACTACAGCCAAGGCGAGAGCAGCCTGCTTCGCCCACGCCCCAAGAACGCGCGCCGCCATTGGTGGGCGGCGGGAGGAAGCGCGGCGGTGATTGGCTGGGCGGCTCGCGCGGGTTCCATTAGCCACCGTGCGGAGCGAGAGGTTGTAGAAACGCAGTTTAAAAGCTGCTCGGGCGGGAGCTCAGGCTTCTGGCCCGTTTCGGTTTCCCCCTTCCTCCACCCTTCCCTTTAGACGCTGATAAGGGACGGGTCGTACTGCTTTTGTGCTCCGTTTCCTTTCCCTCCTCCTGCTTGGGACACAGCTTCCATCCTGGGGTCGGTCACCTCCGAGCGGGCCGAGTTCCACGCCAGCCCTGAGGACCCTTGGCTGGGCCTTTCTCCCTCCCAGGACACTGTCCGTCAAAGAATAGGCTGCTTTCCCGAACGCTAGCTCTAGTGGGGAAGACGAGAGGCGAGGCATGCATGTTCGTGTGTCTTGATTTACTTGGAGAGTGGAAGGGGCAGCACCAGGAGGCAAATTCCCCTCTGCTCGGAAAAGCTTCTTTTGTTCCTGCAATTCCGGAGAAACTGGACCTCTGCTATTAGTTTAAAACGTCCTTGAATTTGTTGACAAAATTGCATTCTTATATATCCCGTTTGCTTGTGACGCTACGGATTGGGCATTTCTAAATTATTTCATTTGAACAGTTACTTGGAGCTTACATAAATCCGTGCATGCATTTTTGCTGGACAGTCTCTCTTGGTTAAATCCCCCCCAGCCTTAAGTCTCTGACTATAACTTAAACCCAGAGAGAGTGGTAACAACTAAATGAAGCGCAGTATTTATAGTCAACTTCAAACAACGGAGATGGTACATACTAGATTTTAATTTCGGACGCAGCATTAGTGACTTTATAATTAGGCCGGAAACTATAAACAAACCCATGTTAAACTGATTAAAATCCAGTAGAATCTGAAACATATACTCTAATTAAAATATCTTCCTGGAAACAAACACCATTGATGACATCAATAGGAACAAACACGTTTCAAGAATATACGTATGTGGATACGTTTCAAGATGCTTCCTAAAGAGGAACTATCCTCGGATTTAGGTTGTCAGCTGACTCTGAAAAAAAATCTCAAATTATGCTTTGTAAATTGCTTTAAATGTTTTAAATGTTTACCTGATTTCTACATGGTTACGTTGAAGTAAATTTAAAATAAATGGCATCACTAAAAATGTTTTTATGAATTCAAAGAAACATTCTTTTAATGACATTATTTTCCTAGAAGTGATTTTATTAATTCCTGCCTAAAAATCTCAATATTACATATATTTAGGCAACAGTATTAAACTCAGTGATGAAAATTTAAAATTTTGTTTTAATAAAGTTATTTTGTACATTTTTATAATCACTTATGAAAGTTGGGGTTCCCCCACCCCCATCACAGCTTCCCTCTGCCCCCCATCACAGCTTCCACAGCATAGGTGAGTGTTTTTATCGTCAAAAAGGGAACTGAACTGAGAGATAAAGGACCATAATTTTGCGTCCCAATCTGCAATGTACTTCAGTTATGTTTTCCAGTATAGTCTCAAATTTTAATGGACAGAACAAGTCTTGAGCTTTATCTCTGCAAGGGCATATACAATAGGTCTTTTGTGGATCCCCAGAGGAAGAAGTATTGCTGATATTTTGGTGACATTTTAAGATAATATTCTTCTACCCTAAGTTTTTTTTTTTTTTTTTTGGTACTAGGGATAGAACTCAGGGGCACTAGACCACTGAGCCACATCCCCACCCCTATTTTGTAGTTTACTTAGAGAGTCTCACTGAGCTGCTTAGTGCCTCACCATCACTTTAGGTGGACACAATATCTTATTTTTATGTGGTGCTGAGAACCAAAGTCAGTGCCTCACATGTGGTAGGCAAGCACTCTACCACTTGAGCCACAAGCCCATCCCCCTGAGGCTGACTTTGAACTTGCAATTCTCCTGTTTCAGGCTCCCAAACCACTGGGATTACAGGTGTGCACCACTGCGCTGGCTTCTACCCTAAATTTGGTATGAGTACAATACAATACTAAGGTCTCACTGCCACCTCAGTGTGCTTCCTGAAGATGCTGCATTGAAACTGTTTGTTTTGTTATCCACAGGACTTTTGCACCAGAAGTTTTCCAAGTAGTTTAATTTTTAGAGACAATAATGAAGCCAGAATTAAAAAAGAGATAGTCAGAATAGACAAATTGAAGAAAACAGACCAATCTGGTTTGGGTCCAAACGTTGGGTACTGTGCCAGTGGGAGATTGAAATGTTAATATCCCCAAAGTCCAGCCTATAAGGCCCATCCTAAAGAATTGTTAATGAAGCAACTCCAGAGCAGACTGGGAACTGCTAATTAATTTGCCCTGGGCCCCCTTCCTTCCCAGATCACTCCTTCCCTGGCCCTCTAGGCCACCTGTTCCCCACCTTTTCACCATTCCATCAATCATCTCCTGGGCCTAGTCATGTATGCAGGAAGGAAAGAGATAAGGAGGAAGAGAACAGGAGAACAAAGGAAGCCTAGGACAGATAAAAAGGCAGAGCACCTTCACTTCCTAGGATACCAACTATGGCCCACTTCTCCCTCCTGGGAAAAGTCTATGTTACCCCTTTTTAAATAAACCCTGCTTTATATGCTTGCCTCGGTGTGCTTCTTTAATGTTATCCTTCAATATGTGAGGAAACAGACCTTGTCACTCATAACCTGTAGTATCGATAACTCATCCTATTTTTTCCACAAGCAAAGGAGTGTTGACCAACTATTAAGTCTGAAAGTTGTTTTAGTAGACAGTACTATGCCCTACAAGTCAAGATATGATTCACAAAAACTGCATTCTAGATGCCTGAAATTAATGTTCCCTAAACAAAAACTGTCACTTTCATCTCTTTTTCTTATTCCTGGACATGCTATCAATAGGAGGTTACTGCAGATACTACATTTCTCAGGAAGCATGATTTATGTCATAAGCTATCAGAATGAGACTGCTTTTCTAGATCTTTCTCTCCAAATCATGAGTTATCAAATTGAGACTTGGAATCATCCTAGGATGTATTCCCAGAACCATTACTTTTAGTGATGAATGTAATTTTTGCTTTTAACTCTGCTGTAGAATTCCAAAGTAGAGGATATTTTTCTCTCATATTCTATGTACCTCAAACTAAAGTAATTAGGCTACTGAATTTGTTCCTGATCACTACTTTCAAACTTCTCTTTCCTCCTCCAGAACATTTGGAGTTCACATCATCCAGCTAAATCACCCTCTACTATTTTTGCTATTATTTACTAACCTCCTGGCTAATCTCCTTCAGAAATTAGAGATCTCCTTGCTCTAGGTTTTTCTCACTATCATTCTTGTCTACAGTTTATGCAGATTCAGCATAAACTGTAGGTGATCTGTGCAACACTAACACTTAGCCTCTTAGATCTTTGACTTCTGTATCTCCAACAATTTGTTCCCCTTTTCTATTGTATTGACTCTAGTGGTAAGACTATGAGCCTTAGCATCAATAACTACCTTACCTTTAAAAAAAATTGTGATTATCTTTGGAGCATCAATTTTACTACCAAATTGGTGAGAAATAGAAACTTATTAAGAACCATCTCTGCAGGCTGGGGTTGTAGCTCAGTGGTAGAGTACTCACCTCACATGTGGAAGGCAACGGGTTTGATCCCCAAGCATCATACAAAAATTAATAAAGATATTGTGTCCATCTACAACTAAAACAATTTTAAGAAAAAAATCTCTGCTATTCCAGAAACATGGGAGAAAGGCCAGAGAAGAGTAGGGAAGGGAGAAGGGTCCCAGGTAAAAAGTCTGTGATATTTCTTTCACCTGGGGTAATGGGGCCAACTCATCCACAGGCAGTTCTGAATGCCCTCCGGATTGGAATTCATGGGGCGATGTCCCAGGAAGCTTGCAGACTTCCCTCCTGCAGCTGTTCCACGTGAGTGAGATCCCCTGTAATCTATTTGGTTTTTGCCTCTGTCTGAGCTGTCCACTTTCATTGGAGCCACTTTATTTCTGAGTCCAAAGTGTGTGTGTCTTCCTTTTGTTGGAGCACATTGTTCCTGAATTTAGTGTTTGTCTTGAGGGCCAGCAGGCAGCAACATGGCATTCAGCAACATATTCCTAGGATACAGTTGCAATGCTCCTAGTCACTGCCTCCCAGTCCTTGCTGTTGTCATGAGTACAGGCTGTAGTCCTACTATGGGGTTGCTCAGTCGGGAGGGAGTTTTCTTCTGATGACAAAGTATCCCAGGAGGACTTGCTGCTCTCTGCCTCCTACCCACTGTGCTCAACAAGGGGCTGGGTGAGGGGGGCTGCAAGAATATGTTGTGGGACTATACTGGATTGGGGTGTCCTTGTTTGCAAGTTGCAGAGGGGAATGGCAGGCAGACTGGGTCTTCTACTGCCCTTCTGTCCTGACAGTCCTCCTGTGGCAGCTATAGCTCATAGGACAAAAAGGGAAAGAAGTAAAGAGCAGGCTCACTGGCACTCTTTTTTGAACAGAGAGTGAAGCTGAAAGGATTGGAAGGGAATGGACTGGGCCCACTTTTGGATGTGTAGGATAGGGTTAACTTGGACTGATCAGTCCCCCTGGTTTGTTTGTGCTGGAGCATCAGAAAGATAGCTATAATCTCATCAAATTTTCTGGTTACCTAAGATACTCAGGATTCATATGGACCACAAACCATGTCAAACATGACCCTCAGTAGTGAGGTTCTAGGTGGCTGGGGAGTGGCTCCCTAGAAGAAATCAGTGAATATTCCTCACATTAGTTTAGTCATGGTGCCTCGAGACTTAGTCTACCGTAGTATTCTTCATGGGGTCAGTCAGTAACTGATGACACTTATCACTTCATGAAAACGTGAGAGGGAAGGTACCATGTGTGCAAGACCTGCTTCTTCAGTTAGAAAAATGTGATGTTTGTTAAGTGGGAGGACTCTTATGAAGGCAGAAGGACATCAAGGCTCCATATGTCCATGATGGAGCTGTTACAGTCTTTTCATTGGTAGAGTTCTGGGGCA